CCTGTAACATTCAGTTCTCCTTAGGTTAGCTGTTCACTGTGTAGACAAGTCCTTAGAAGCTGTCTCATGTTCCCAGGCACAAGGATTTATAGTCCTTTTCCAAACCTGCTTTGTAAGTCTGTTAAATCTATCATCTCAGAAAGTGTAGAGCAGTTTTAATGGTCATTTTATGCTTTTGGCTTCAGTATCTTGGCAGGCTAAGTTCCACCATTGACTTAATGTAGTTAACCTCCCAAAATTAACATTTAGATCTTCTAACTTTACACTTCACTGAATAAGCCTACTACAATAGCAAAGAAACAAAAGGGAACGCAGACCACAAATTCAAACTTTCTTCCAGTATTAATCTACAGACTTTGCATCCTTTTCTATTAGCCTCTTTCCTACGGAAAAGCATGCCTTTACAAGTAAATATTATTCCATTTGTTCTGACTGGTTTTCAACTGTTTTTACAAATATGCATCTCTAAAATGTGGAGAGCTGGAACTAAGAAAAGCTACAATATTCTGGAATATAGTTCAGTTCAGACACTTCTCAGGGAGAGCATCGTAACATTCCAAAAGGTGTGGCAGATATACCGAGTTAACACACAGAAGCTAATAAGCAGCTCACCCCTGACCCATATTACACAAAAGGTACTATCTAGATACAGGTGGAAGAGGTCCAGCATTCTATAACCATGCCTCTGTCATGTTTAATATGATGGGTTATGACTCCCCACACACAGAGAGGCACAGAAGCACAACGGCTGGCAGGTGAACCCCAATAACTTTTTCAGAGAAGTTACCAGAGAAGCCATGCCCTGCCCTGACACAAGGGCATCAGCCCCATGGGTGGCACCCACCAAGTGAGTCTGCAGGAGAAGCTCTGTCTGCAGAAGTCATCTCACCGACTGAGGAGGCCACTCACGGTGTGGGGCTGTTTGAGATGCATGGGAAGAACATTCTGGGATTGTACGAGAGTTGTTAGGTGATGTTTAGGGGAGGAACTGAAGGGAGGGATCAAGGTGGTTTGGGGAGGAACAACTATGGGAAAATAGAGGGATACGGAGACAAAAGAAGGTGGTCACAGGTAGAGAGGTCGCTGGTTGGTGTGCCTGGCCATGCCCTGCACCTAATCAGCATAGTCTGTCCTGTCTTCTCATTAAATGCTGTTTCTAACCCTTTTTGTGGGTGTGGTTTCCACTCTGCTGCAGGCATGTGTGCACATGGGTTTGTGAGTGCAGCAACTGAAGCAGGACCGCAGGTCACCGTGACCCATGTGTTCACGGCGCCAGCAACCAGAGTGACAGCTGTTGTGTGACCCCCAGCAAACATCAGGCTGGACTCACTGGCATGCAAAGTAAGTTGCCTGGAAGTCATGTGCGCATGCTTCTCTGTGAATGAGGCACCTGGCGGAGATGACTACTGGAGGGACCAGGAGGTCCAGGATGGCTGCTGGACAGACCGTGGGTGCTGGGGGTCCACCGGGAGACCTAGGCGGGGAAGGAGTGTGTATGTGCGTGTATGTATGCACATATACATGTACACAGCCACACACACACGTAGAAGTATACATATATATGTATAGACACACGCATTCCAACTCTCAGACCTTCATCCTGCTCAGACAGAGGGGACAGGATGCTGCAGCAGCTTCACCTCTACTCGGGTACCAGATTCGGAGATCCCTAACATCGTTAAACTAAAGCTTTCAAACATTTGTCTTTTTTTTTGTGAATGCTTTGTTTTTAAAGATACACTAAAATCAGTCCCTACCTGTTGAGCTTTCTAAACCATAGCAAAGTTACTGGGCTCTACACTGACTTTTGCTTTGTCAAAATGTATTAAAAGGAAGCAATTTTTTTTAATGCCACTGTTCTATTTAAAACACACGTAATGATTCTTTACAAGAGCCTTGAAAATGTACCATCTACTGCTGCTTTCTCCAGTCCATAGACAGACACTGTATATGAATAAAAGACACATTAAAGTTTGTATTCTGCCCGCAGTTTTCATATCTTTTTTCCTTCTTTTGGGAAGGCTGTCTAAAACTGAACTGTCCTGTACTAGTACTTTCAACCAATCTAGTTGAAATATCTGGATACACAATTTGCTCTCTTTAACAGTCATGAGTGAGGGAAATAGCCTTAGTTGGTGAAGTATAAAAATCTGACACTCAATGACTTATGTCACTTAAAACACTGGAAAAAGTGAAAGTTTCCTAGATAAACTGCAGTTAGTCAGAGTCTGGTCCCATACTAAGGGAGGACGGTGGTGGATCATAACTTAGTCATTAAAGAGACACCAGCTTCAAATTTTAAGAAGTGAAATAAGAGTATATGTGAGATCACTTCCATAACTGGGTTAATTATTTACTGACTTGGATTTTTTTTTTTAAAATGAAATTATCCTATTAATTTTGTAAGAACTTTAGGCCACAAAAAAAAAAAAAACAAAACCACACCCACCAAAAAAAATCCCCACCACATTTCATATTTATTGATTTGAAACTTCTCTTTTTACAACAATCCATGCAGCTACAGTAGGTAGTAAGTACCATGTTTTTCTAGTTACTCAAATGGATATAGGGAGTAGGATGCCTTTAAATTGTGGTTGACTTCATCTTCTGAAAAGTAACAGTTTGGCTAATTCCAACCCCAGAAATCTCCACACACATAAGAATTTAACTGCATAAGAAGCAATCAACCCAGATCAATCCTGACACACAGGAATACATACAGTTTTATTGTAACGTGCCCAACAAAAAATAAAATAAAATGAAATCACCATGTGTGTTCAGTAAGGTTTGGATCCAGCTACCTTCAAAGAAAAAGGCTCTGAAAAGACATGCTGCCTGCCCTTTACATTGGTTGCTTATCTATGGGTTGTTAACACCATGCTTGCTTTCTTTGATTACCAGAAATGATCTATTTGTCAGGGTAACGAACAGATTGTCACTTACACCAATCTACCAGTGGAAAATAGTGATGCAACAGTTGTAAGACCCTGGATAAACGTGTTGGACCAAAACTTTGGACCTCAAATTCATACCCAGCATTAGAAAAACAGCCCTTTAATATTTTTTCATACGGCAAAGCAAGTTAAGATTACATGAATAAAGACTGGAATGGGTGACTATTCACCACTTACGAAAATTCTGCTTACTTGAGTCTGTCGAAATCTGGACATCTTTTGCTGACCCTTGTGTTGACCCATCAACATCATCATCTTCATCTGTGAAAACAGAAACATTTTAAGACAGGATTCTTGGTAATTTGAACTAAGGGGAAAATAAAAAGTGTTCGTCATTTAAGGATGGTTTCCCTCAAAGAAGCTAACACAAAAGAGTCCAGTCAGAAAAGCACACTTTATTCTGCTTATTTTACGATAATAATCCATACTATAAAAACAGTATAAAAAACCCCAAACCTGCATTGTCATGTAACAACAGTGAAGGCATACCTGAAGTCCTTCTACTATCAGCTTTAACACTGCAACTACTGCATTTCATCTCTTTCTCAAGCTGCGATGTTTGCATGTGACTGAAGTATATATGGTTTCCATTAACTTTTAAATCACCAAATCAGCCCAGGAATTGCAGTAACTGCGTTCCAGTCAGAAGTATGGGTATTATATAAATAACTTTCATAACTGAAAAATAGATCTGCTGACAACCAAAGAGAAAGAAATCCCTGCACTCCAGAAGAGGACTTCGACAGCAGCTCAACACTCTAGCTAAAAGCTAGGAGCTAACATGTCAGATATCACAGCCTGCAAAATCACACATAAAATACTTAGAAAATGTTAAAATAAAAGCTACTGACATTTACATTTGCTTCTGTGAAGATAACATCTTGACTGCTTTCTCATTCCTGACACTCAGGTCCATACAGGAAGACAGGTGCAAATCCAAAGATGACAACTTTATCTTCTCTAATGGTAGCAGTAGTGTGCAACATAAGCCAACCCACTGAATACCGATCGTATAATGGTATTCATACTCTCACCCATTGAAACTCACAATCAGTCTTGATTGGGATGCAGTCAAAGCTCCCAAAAGATATAAGCCAGACAATATCTTTATAAAAACTATGCCTTGCAGTTCAGGGAGAAAGGAGAAAATCAAAGCACAAAAACAAGAGAGAAAAAAATAAGATAAAATCAGCAGAGACAGACCTTCAGAGCAAAAGAGGTACTAGGGAAGTCAGAGTCCTAACTCAGGAAAACCTTCCAAGAAGCAGAACTGCAGCATGTCAAGAAGGGTACTTAGAAGGAGTCCTAAACTGGAGACAAGGTAACTTACTGAATATTTGGGTAACACTCCAAATGACTACAAGAAAGACCAGCATAATGTTTCTGGGTTGGGGTTTTTAAAATATAAAAGAAGGGTTGAAATACTTTCCCTGTTATAGTTGACAGACAAACAGATTAAGTTTCAAATTGGAGATGAATTTAGACAACACGGTCTTGGAACACCCTGAAATAAAAGGAAGCTGAATGCCTTCTCAAATTTCACTTCAGACAAAATCAAATTAAATAAAGAATAAGTAAATACAACAGTAAAAAACAAAAGACTTCCTGATTGCTCCCAACCCTCCCCTTTGTCTAAGTTTACACAGGAAGGAGCTGACATCTTTCTTTCATTACTCTTTCTCCTTCACTCTGTATAGTAGGTAAATTCTACACTAATAGCATCTTGAAACTATTCCAATTAAGTTCAATGACTTCTTTTGAAATATGCTGAGATAGGAGTCAATTGGAGGAAGGGGAGATAACTGCTCTACCATTGCTTCCCCTTGCTCGCCCAAGAGTTTTGAAAAGCCACTTTCAGCACAGAGTTGTTCACTGAATGTTGGCCATGAAGCTCAGCATTTGCTCAGTGGCAAAAACTAATCTGGACAAATGATCCCCATTTGGGCAGCAATGATGTGCTCAGTTCTCTGTCTCAGACAAGTCATCTAGCACTTCCCAACCATAAGCTTGGGAAGAGCTGTGCTGCAGCAGTTAACTCATCCAGGCAACGGCCAACACTTCTTTGGTACTGAGGACCAGACTTTTCACAATCTTGATGCCCATTGTCAGCTGCGGCAACAGATGAGCACCCTCTGTGCATGCCGCGGTGTAAGGACTCTGAATGCCCATGCTTGCATGATGTATCCTGCAGAAGTGAGGACAGATGTGCTAATTATCCTCCAACAAAGCTGAAACGCTCCGTGGAAACATCCCTAACTGTGCATGCAGTCTTTGAGATCTGCCATCTGGAGCCTAAGCTTTCCCCCAGCAAAGCAGCAGCAACTCCCAGGGCAGATGTCCTGAGCTGCTCCATCATCAGAGGACCTTCAAAAACATCCTGAAGAGTGTCAGGGAGCTGCTGGACCTGTGACGCATCTTGGTAACTTTTGGCACATGCTAGAAGCTAATGGGCTTTTGAAAGAAGATGCAGGTCTGCTTTGTGAACATGGGTAACAAAAGAAGGACTACCAGGCCAGAGCACTGAGCTCCCTTGATGTGAAGTGATGTGAGAATCAGTTTAAGGCAATTCCCAGCTCTGCCTTTAAGGAAGAATCTGAGCAGAGGGAAAGAACCTCCACCCTGGGAGGCTGCTGCCCACCACGTGATGGGGAGCTGAGCCCAGGGAGCAGAAATCCTCACAGACTGACAGAAAAGAGACCTGGTGCTAGAAAAGAGATTTTGCAGGGTGTTACTGTATTTCATCTGGGTATGTGCAAGCTGAGCACTATAAAAACGAATTCTGGCTTTCCAAATGTGTTGGGTTTTTCTCATTGTTTTTTATGTCCCATTAAAGCACTGGAGATGTTATTACTGAGTATTTCCCCTTCCCCTCCTGTCTGTTTCTGACCACCAGCTAATGACTGATCTGCACTGCATTCTCTCAATTCAAAGTACAAGACATATATTGTAATTAAAGGAATGCAAAAAACATTATTACTTAAAAGAACCCTTGACTATGCGTAACACAAACTTATACCCTCAGCATATAGCCAAAGTCCTGAAATGGAAAACCTTCTCTTCTATCATGTAAAATAATGAAGGAAGAGACTAGAAGATGCAGCTACAACCTTGGAGTTTTTCACTGAAGGTGCTTCAAGTTCCATTTTAACTTAGAGGTGATTTAAGAATTAAAAGAGGAAAAAGTTTAAGTCTGACATATTAAAAGAACACACCACTGTCTAAAAGATAAACAGTTAACATCAAAAAAAAGCACACCCGAAGAGGCTATTTAAAAGGTTTGTGATTAACTTCTGTTAATAATAATACAACTTTATCTTCACTTAAGCCTTTGTAGAATACCTAACAATAAACCTGAATCAAGGTTCACCATCAGTCTTCCAGCAAAACCAAGCTCATCCAGACTGTTTATTTCTGGTATTTCTTACGTTGGAAGCATGAGAAACCTCCATGACTTTGAAGTATGTGCTGTACTTCACCCTCCCCCACCAACAAGCAATTTCATTACAAATTAAAATAACTCACTGAAAAAAACATGCCAACCAACAAAAGCAACATAACGCCTCCTCTCCTGCTTCACACTTTCATAGGTCACTTCAGAGTAGTTAGGTTATGTAGACTTAGGGTCAGGCAGTTTATGCAGTAGCAGGACTCCCACTATAGCTTCTGCACATGAGAATGCATGGCTCCTGCTAGCAACCAACTGCCTTCACCCAAACCAAACCTACATGTTCAAAGCAGAAAGTTCGAGAACAACCTGTCAGGCTGAGAAACGTGGAGTTGCAAACATTTAACTTCCTCAGCCTATATTTTGCCTATCTTCTATTTGTTTTCCACAAGAATGTAATAATCAAAATTTAAATTAGAAAATACTTCAGTGGCTTAAAAAAATTCTCTTGTTCCTAAAGAGCTGCTACACAAACATACTCTAGATGGCAGCAGAACATTACCCAGCACAGAAATCTTAAAAGGGCAGATGCTAAATCAAAGAGACAAATAAAAATATCTGTATATACGATATGTCAAACAAAAACCAACACATATATCAGCAAGTGTTTGTAGTAATGATAACACTAATCTGCTAAGCAAATTTTTGGATTTTAGGTTTTCACTTTCTGCATGCTTGCTATTTAAATAACAGTTTTCTAATTGCCCTGCACCAGTAAACAGAATTTTCACACATTCTGCATTTAAAAATCTCCATCCTGTCCCAGAAATAGCAAGCAGTTACAGTATTGCCACAAAAGCCAGTGAAAATCAGCAATGATATGCTTCAGTGAATTACAACGTTAGGTTAAACATGTTCATCGATTAATTGCATTCAACTGTGAAAGTTTTTACCTGATTCTGTTTGCAAGTTTTCTGATATTCGAAAACAATGCAGTTTGCTGAAGTTGCGAGAAAATAACTGCACACAGCTTGGAGGAAGAATCATATTCCTTAGTCTTCCAAAAGTACATTCTGGTGTGACAATTATGTAGCAAGCAGCATGAGCCTATAAATAGAAGCATCCATTAAGAACTCAGTGAGATACAAAAAAAGTAAATTTGTTTATAACAAAATATGCACTGGAATTACAAAACTCAGGCTAGGACGCATATAGACCTTTTGTAAGTCATTTTTATGAAATGAGTGACCCATTTTTTACACTAGATTTTCATTTGTTCCATTCAGTTTTTATATGAGCAATAATGGGAAGCCTTAACATGTGACGAAACTCCAAGTACTACAAACTTGCTCTATTAAAACCGAAAGGTTTTTATATAGCTATGTGGAGAAGTTTAACGTTTTAGTCTCAAACCCTGGATCTATATGGATATTTACTGGGGGAGGTGGGAAAGGTAGGCAGGTTATACTGAATAGCTTGAAAACAGCAATATCCTCTTACACAGCTGTACCCACTTGCAGATTCAGAGATAACTCTGTCTGGAGTTTTCTTCCAAAACATGACTGTCTGGTTTCTGCCTTTATACGTATACGAGATCTTCTGCCATTATCGAATACACGTACCTTTGGATGTGTTGCCATATAGCATGTTATGTATCTTAGACCGCTCTCAAAGACAGCCTGTCCCACCTCAGAAATTACGAATCAGATTAAAAACACAAACCCCACCATATTTTAAAAAAAATTAAATTATTCCAATCATACCTGAAATACTGAATAACTTCAGGTTTCATTTTAAATTATGATTACATAGAATACCTCATCTTGCATTAAGTAGCAAATGAATGATTTATTACATATACTTTTCAGCTCCCACCCCATCCGGTGCTACTTTGCACTTTCATTGTATTTCAATAAGAAGTCGAATTTAGTGGATGGATCAATTGCTATCTACACAGCAGACTATGTACCACCATGTGAAAAGCTGCGACTTTCAAGAGGATTGTTGAAGTGTACCATCACGTTGCACGGGAAATAAACACGCACCATGTAAATGGAAAAACACAGAAACCAATACTGACAGCTTAAAACCCCAACCCCACAGGTTAAGAACTATTCTACACTGAAAGAGGAATAAACGTATTAGAATGGTAGTCTTTGACTCTGCAGAATTCATGTGATTTGAAACAAATTCCCATTTTACACACGAAAAGTAACTGCAGGCTTCTAAGCAGAAATCTATAATGATTAGTCTGTGTTAAATTTTAATTCCATTGGATTTACATGAAGTTTAACTGTGATTTTGAGAATTGCTCATTTTAATAACTAATTAAAAAAAGAAAAGGTTAAAAAAAGAACAGGTTTTCCATCTAACTCAAAGAGATATGTTTATTTAAATAAGTGTATAAAATAAGTGTATTTATGAAGTGTATATGAAGTATATTTCTAAAGTGTACAAATAAAGTATGCTTACGTAAAGTGTTAAAATAAGCATGTGCATATATATATATGTATATATACATACACATATGGTTCCGACAAATATACACAACAGGACAACATACCAGGATGCCACACCATTCACATCTCATGCCAGAGAGCACCTCAGAAGAGCCACAGGTTTTTTTGCAAACTTCGCAACGAGCACTGGAAGAAAGGTTTCCCTCCCTCCAGTGGTGGTGATAAGTATCCTGAGGGAACACATCATGACTTAACGTTACACAAAATGGTACAGAAGCATATTCAACCTAACTTTAAAATCAGCAATTCAAACAGGTCTGAGGAAAAAGCAACACAGACAAGGACCATCAAGTATTTTCTCACTATAAACGTGAACCTGAACAATCTTACATTTCACCAAAACAAGTTTATCAAACTATCAAAAAATTTATCACCTACTGCTTTTTCTTCACGGCCCACCAAAACCAACATTCTTTTTAAAAAAATAAATCCTGAAAGGTCAGTATTATGCATGTATTTTACAGTAACAAGCTGGGCAGTTTCGCCTCAGACAGACTGCAGAAAGCTTGAGGAATACAGTAACGTTTGCCAGGGATGCAGTGCAGCCAACACATAAAAGGAGAGTTCCATGCCAGCTTCTGCAATGCAAGTTTTTAGATAAGATGCTTGATTTTAATTTTTTTCTTTTTAAATAGGATGTTGTATACATCACACAGACTTTTCAGCATAGCCTCATTAAGTATCATGAATGGAATGTGTCAGAGTTTAAGTTCATCTCGCTATCTTCAATACACTCTGAAGCCACACGTTTCCTTTGCCAGCCAATAAGCAACAAAAGTGCTTTGATAATTGGGAGCATACAAAAGAAAAGGCCAAGACTCCTCCCCCTCCTCTAGACCATGTTTTCACACCAAAAATGCACTTTCACATCAGCACTTACGTGGTCCTGGTGCCCGTCCTGGTGACACTGCCGGCAGTCACTGCAAGCAAACAGGATACAGTCTGTGTGCACATGTAGCTCACAAACTAAAAGCATGAAAACAAGAAAACTTCTTTAAGCTGGAAACCCCGGGGTTTTTGCAGCTCCTCCCTCCCTCTCTCCCTCCATCCCTCCAATACTCTTCCACTACCTTTTTGCACCACCCTTTCTTTCCTTCATGCTCTTTTCTGTGGAGCACAGCTAGGCAACAAAAGAAGTTTATCAGCATTGTCCTGCATGTTGCTCTGTTTCCTTTGTGTTAAACTGATGCAGCAAGTATAAGGAAAGGGTGAGCTAATTTTGCTCATAAGCACTTGCCATATTTCCTCCAATACAGCAAGTTAAATTTGTAAAAATCATTTGTCTTATTACAGCCTTGTCTCACAGTTTCACAGGAACCGCTGCCTACTCCAATATAACCATGCCCGAAGTCTACTTTGATTTAATCAAATCCAAAACAAAGCTGAATGTTAGAAGCATTGACAGAAAGACACAAAAGTTCTCCTCCCAAATCCAAATACCACTAAGTCTTGAGTGTAAAGTAATGGTCTTCCCAAAGCAATACTCCATTGCCCTTACAAAGCCTTTTCCAAACACTACAGCAGAGCAAGCAGGCACTTGATGCGAGGGTTTGAAACAGCTTTTCTGCGGGACAGCCCCTCTCTCCATCCCTGTAGCTCTCAGAAGCACAGGGAAACAAAGAGATGAGGTGCATTCGAGTCACCAGCAAAGCAGGGGAGGCCACTGCCCCCGAAACAGCAGGACGGCGGCAGGGCTCCCCTCCTGCTCGCAGCCGGGCGCCCCGTCCCGCTCACGGTCCCATGGGCACCGCAGCAGGGGTCGGGGCAGCTATCCCCCCCCCCCCGCCTGCACCGGCACACCGGCTCGCTGCGTTTGCGCAGTGATGCGACGCAGGCTGACCTCAGAACGTGCAACATTGACTGGAGGATGTCATCATCCTCAGGGAGACTGCAACAGCAAGAAAGCACGTTTCACTCAGGAAATAAATCCTTTTTATTGCCAGACGACACTCGATGGATTTAATTTTAAATCTGACCAGAATAAACTGGTATGTTAAGTTCAGAGAAGATTTGTTCAAGCTATGTCTGCATATTGTAAAACACCACTTCATTGTCATGAAAATAATCACTTTTTCAGCACACTCTCCTAAGTATGCCTAAGATAATCTTCCAAAACACCTGTTAGATACTGTAGCTGGAAGAAGTTTCAGTGAAGCCTATAAAGTTTTAGGCAAGTTTGGTTTTGGATAAAGTATTTTCATTATTTAAAAGCTCACTTGAAGTATCACATGTGAAAGAAAAGAGAATCTACAAAAAAAAAAAAAACCACCCAGCTAAAATGCTATGCTGCGAAGGATCAGCCATTAAAAAAACCCCACAACTCAAAGACCTCAATACCTAGCTTTGAGCTTCATTACTGCGAGAGTTAGGAAAGTTCTCTATGGACCTCATAAACAGACATGCTCCTCTAGCTGCTTTTGAAAGACTTGTGTATACAAGTACTCTGGGAAGGCATCTGATTTTTTGCCGAGTAAATAAAAGTAAAGAGGCAAGCGTCAAATTCTTCAAATATTTTCCTTTGTTCTGCTCAAAGAGGTTATTGCTCCAAGCACATCACAAAGATCTGAAGACCGTAACCTGAAGACTGGAAGATGGCAACTGCATATTAGCCACATTATCTGAAAGTATCATCTTGAAAACAGTATTAAATTACATAGAGAGTAATACCTTATTTTGAAATCACTCTCTGGGTTCTTGAAAAGGTCATCAGCACTAACACCGTCTTACTCTAACCCCACAGAAGACCATGATCTACCACCCCAACAAAGCAAAGCCTTTTAACAGGGCTTACTATGTCAACCACAAGCGTTCAGGTACGACTCCCCACACTACGTGTCTTCACTGAGCTCAAGAACCTCTATACATGGTGTGACAGAGTCCCTCCACTGCTCACATTTTCCATAGTCAAAGATATAACAGGAATATTTTACAGTTTTGCCAATTCAGCTACCAGGCCTTGAGCAACACCCTCGCTAGTGGTAAAAGTTTCTGTAGACCAAATTACGGCTTCAAGGAATTAACAAAAGTGTTGTGTTTTTTATCACTAATTCTGCTAAAACAGGCACATACTGCCCTTTGCTATACTTTGTAAGAACAGGGAGGGTTTTTTCCCCCTTGGTTTAATTTGCATCTGCTGCTTCTAACACCAACTCCAACTCAGAATTAATGAGAGAATGTGTGCATGTGGAGGGCGGGAGTGTCACAGGAGTTAAACCCTTAAGATAGTGCTCCCGTTGACAGGAAAAGTATCCCACTTTGGTATGGAAAGATCAAGTCAAATCAGGGGGTGTACAAAAAGAACTTTAATCTTTATCAGCCCTTCCATAATCTACACAGCTTTTTAACTCACAACAGAATGACAGTTTCGTTCAAGCTAGTCATAAAAGTGTTGTGAATTCTTTTGTAATTGCCAAACCCCCAAGTTGGTTAATTTCAGATATATCAACTTGGCAGAATAACCCTTAAAATGCTAACTGCCTCCCCCCCCAGTAAATTGGCTGCTCCCAGTTGATGCTTAATAAGAAACATTTGTAAAGAACCCAACACCAAAAAAAAAAATGTTTGGGTTACTCCCTTTCCTCTTTTTTTCTTTCTAACCCTTCTTCTTGGAAAGAAAAGGGAGAGCAACTCCCACCATCATGAATCCAGGTTCCACTGTTACCAGTGGATTCTACAGCAAAAACAGCTATCCAAAGCACATAGTAATTGTCAGCAGAATTTGGAGTCCAATATTGTAATTTTTGCCAATGAAGTGTAAGTACTTATGTCACCAGGGGTTAATATACATGCATGCTCATTTATGAGAACAGGTGCCCCACCATGCACCCACAGTGTTTAGGACTTGTCTGAAGATTTTCAACTGTCTTTCAAGAAAATTTATCCTACTGTAAGACAGAGTCCAAAACATATTATTTAAATTATTTTAAAAGTACATCTAATGATGTCAATCGTTTGCTTAAAAAAGGTAACTTCATCTTAACCCTCTTTTCTACCTTAATTATGGCAAAGATTCCAGGAAAAGTTCTTAAAATTTCAGTATCAGAAGAGAACATCATAACCAAGAGCAGGCTTGCACTATTAAGCTAAGTCATTAGAAGTAAGCAAAAAAAGGAAGTAAGTTCAAAATCTCCATCTGGATTTAAAAGCTTTACAGATTAAAACAGCTGACTTCTAAAACAAATTCTGAAAGTGTTTTTGAAGGAAGAATCTTGTGCATTTTATGAACCTCAACTGCCCTTTTTAAGCTACATTTCAGAAAAATATCGGAGAAACAAGTTGTAGACTTATTAGTATTCAGAAAACACGATAGCAAACAAGTCACACCACACAAAACAAGAAAACTGTTTAATCCATGCAAGGCACACAATTCAGAACCTTCACTGAACCAGAAAAAAAAAAATGTTTGGGCATTTGTAATACCTAAATATAACATGGGATTTCATGTGTTTCTTGTTTAAGAACACTTAAATGGAAACGTCTGAAAAAATAAATATTCCCTTACAATGGATACAATGCTAATACAGTAGAATTAAGAGAATAAGAGTATGAAAGCAAAATTTAGAAAGCTTTAACTAAAATAGATCACTAAACTAAAGCTACTTTCAAGAGCTAAGAGGACATAGCTAGTGGAAATTTTCTTCTCAAATTCTCTATGTTTATCTCATGCCACACAAGTTCTGAGGCTTATTAAGACAGATCATCATAAAAAACTCTGTGGTATCTGCAGATCTCAGACCATCCCACCAAATCATCCAACTCACATGGTAACTAGATTAAGTGACAGATTCCCACCAGTCAGAAGAACATAGTTTAGATGCATTATGTAACTCACCAGACAAAAGCAGAAACAAAACCACTGCACCATTATAAGTCTAATGCCCTGATCAAGAGAAATGTTTCACCTACACCTACACATAGGTGACCATATAAAAGAAGACATTATATTTAGCATAACAGCAATTTTGAAAGCATCTCGAATCCCTACAGAATTGGCTCATCTCTCAGTAGACTCTATCTTTTTTATCTTTTTTTTAAACAGTTCACAGGTAATCACAGGGTGATTTCTTTAATTACTGTTTTTTCAGAGAATCCATGTCAGAACACTCAGAGCAGTATTATTTTGTCAAATAATATTTTCAAATATCTTTCCATTGAAGGCACCTCATCCCCATTACAAGCAACAGATATCTGAGACCAGTAACACATAAAAGTTATATTCCATTCTGTTGTAGAAAGGGCGAAGTTTTAGAAACATGAATACCTGATGATTCCCTGTATCAAAAGCTTCCACTGGAAACAGAAATAAACTACCTCAACAGGAGAAGTCTTTCTTTTGCCATCATAGCTTCTCATTCTTTGTACATCTCAGCATGAATTCATTGCACACCATCAACACCATAGACTTGCTCAAAGTAAATCGGAGGAGAAGAGCGTACGTGTTTGACAAGTTTCTGTTTTATTGAAGTTTATTGATTTATTATTCCTTAATTTGAAGTACATGTTTCCACAATCAATGAGTGGATGATAAACAACCCAAAAACCTCTCAAACACAGTAAGTGCACGCGTGTGTGTGCATACCTCAGAGGTATGCCATGTAAACCAAGTGTACATTACTGCATAACACATGGATGTCTATACAAGTAGGGGTTTTTAAGTTACCTTCACATCGAAAGGCAGGTGACTCTAGTGACTTTCTGCACACAGTGCAAAACTTTCTTTTGTAATGTCCTGGAGGCCCAAAACAGTGTGCAACTGGAACCTGCCAACAAAGAATGCATAAGACATCATCAACCACAACTTTCAAAGTGCTAGCTACAATTCATAGAAACTTCTTTGTCATGCAAGACAGGACAGTATATACAACATAAACTTCAGTAAGCTTGAGAACAAATCTAAGGGCAAATCATCCTTCTAAAAAAAAAATTCATACTTAGTTTACTTCAAATACTTTATTTTAAATTTTTTTTTTTATTCTTCAGTTTTAATATGTAATGTATATATATTTAAGTGTCGGTCAGCTGCTTGATGATTCAGAGTGCCACAAATTGAAAGATTTCCTTTGAGTTCAGTCCCATGCAACTCACCTGGAATCACAGTTTCTCTCCTAAGTACTCTTAATCAAATCAAGGATGATTAATAGCTGCACATGTACATAAAATACCCTAAAGACAGACTGAAGACAATTTTTACAAGTTCAGCGCTGCCACAGTCCAGTACTATTCACATGCTTTTCACCTCTTCTCCAAAGAGAGCCCAGCCAACTGGCTGATCAGGACAAAGGCACTGGTCTCCCCCCACCCCGAGCTTCAAAGCCTGGATGGAACAGAGACGCAGCTCTTGAAGTGCATCCATACCGAGGTTCATGTTAACTGCAGGTGGAAGATGATGCATTTTAATATCCTCTTGTCAAGAGCTGTACCAGCGGTTTTAACAAATATTTCTAGTATACTACTCACTTATCCTAAAATGGTAGAGTTTTCTTCTTGTTCAGCGATTAATAATGAAGACTGGACATGACAGTATCAAAAGAACAAGAGAAGAAAAGGCGAAATATGAAGAATAAGAAACATACTTGAGCTTTACACTTGTTCTAGAGACCACTCTTCTACAAGACACACACTTTTATTAAAAACTGACACTCACATTAGAAGCAAGAATCATAAACGCATCTTTAAAATTCTCGAATCCAAACAACTTCCATAAAAGTTTGACAACACTTAGGTATTTAGCTTTATGCTTCTCATATGCCCTTCCTGAGACGATAAACATATCAGATTTATCTTCTGGTTCTTGCATCACAAAAAAAAAATAATATTGCCAGTAAAGGCTGACAAATGGTGTGAAATGAAATTAATCATTCCTAGTAAAAAGTCAGAAATAATGACTTAAGATACATGTAGTCATTGAGAGCTTCTTTTCCTCTCAGATGTACTAGTAAACAATCCTTCCAAGATATTGAGCAGGATTTGAATTTTTCTCATTGCATATTAGGGTGTTCCTGAGAACCACTCGCAGCAAATCTGACATATACTGGGAACACAGAATTTGATGACCCAGAAGTTGCTTCCAGTTATAAAGGTCTAATTCGCACCAGTGTTCCTGCCTCTGAAAGTGTGGGGACAGTTATACTAAACAATCCCATATCTCGAGCATGCAGAATGAAATACATGAGATAAAGTTTTGCCTGATATAACAGAAGGAAAAATGAACATTGCTGGAAGTTTAATCAAGAAAAATCACTAACCCCCAAACTGCAAAGCACGTGGTTCTTCCAGTCCTTCTCAGAATCTTTGGGAGGTTAAAGGAGGATGAAGAAAGGTACGAAATACGCCTGTGTTCTCAGACATGAACAAGATCATGCACAGCTGAGTCACCAGCTCATTGCCCCAGCAGACCATGTTGTCTGGAGGAATCTTTGGTCCCTGACTGACCAGGAAACTGCCTGTCCAGATCCCAGGCTCCCCACCACACTGGGCTGCCAGCCAGCCTACCCAAAGGATTTCATATCAGTATCTCCAACATGACATGTTACAAAACATCCTTGCCTCCAAAAGCTTCAAATTTTTACTTTATGGATGAGCTTGGGATTTAAGAATGTAGACAAACCATGCTTTGGGGTCCATCTCCTACTCCCATCAACCCAAACAGAAATTTCATTCTCTACAGCCCTCCAGCTCTAATTGACACAAAGCTCATGATTGGCTAGCATTATAATTTTATTTTTTTTTAATCAGAACACTCTAGTCATATCATGTATGTTTATAAAAAGAATCTATACCCTTAGGGGAAAAAAATCCTGGAGAGCCTGGGGAATCTTAATCAAACTATCTCATATGGAGTTCATTGCTCACAATCCCTGCCCACTTTTCTTGCACTTTCATGCTACTTCTTCAGGGGAAAGAAAAAACCAAACCTCCCTGTACAGTAGCATACAAGTTACCTGGCTCAGCTATTCTGTGGGTGAAGTGCCAGACCTGTTTTCTCACACTAGCCACTCCAAAATTAAAAGTCCAATCCCCATTCAGTGGGAGAAGGCTACGTGCCCAAAATTTGTCCTACAGAATGAGTTTCAGTGCAGAAAGAGATAATGAGAATGGTGACGTGAGCACATTCCCAGCCAGAAACAGCAATTGCAAGGAGTACTGAAAAGCCCTGGTGGGATTTTTTCAGGAGAGCTTTTCTGCACATCCCAACCTGTCTTCAGGTTTCAGGTGTCACCTTCAAGTCGCCTGCCTGCCCTACTCCCACCACAGCCCTGGGCACAGCGGAGCCAGCTGTCCCCAGGGCAGCAGTACTCCCCTTGCGATCAGATGCAGAGGAGACCTCCTTTAGCTCTAGAGTGGTGAATAACCTGCTTTGGACATCCAGCATGAGCATCCAATCCCCTCAGCAACCCGTGTTTGAAACACAGAGAACTTTTCTTTCCCTGGCCATGAGTTTGGCTATTTTATCTTACATCTGGAGTAGAAATACAGGCTTGTCATTATTGTCACAGAAAGGTTTTGCTGAAGAAAAAGGACACTCCATAGATCAAAGCAGAGTTCTGTGAAAAACAGTGTTTATTTTGGGAAAGACTGTGAGAAAGAACTTCGACAAGATTTGAACTTATTCAGGGTCTGACTGTACTTATCTAGAAGACTCAAGGGAAGGAGACTAAGGCTGAATTCTGCAGTTGTTCAAGACTCTGATGACAATCCTCTGAAGTCTCCAGTCACTGCCAAAAAGAAGGGAAGGGAACAACTTGCTGATTGAAATGTTGGGTGGAAAAAAAAATAAAAATGTGTTCCTTCTACTTCTGCCTTTGTGAAACAAGCCAAAGAAACTTTGTTTATTATAAGTGGTCTTTCTAACTTGCTTTAGAAGTGACAGGTATAAAACTACAGCAGAGCCTGGTGGGAAGTGGGATGGGAATAAGACGGAAAAAGAAAAAAGGTAAAAGAGGAAGTACAACATAAAAAACTCATTAATCACAGCATGGTTCTCCCAGCAGCTCTCTACATTTCTTTTGTTGCTGAACAAGTTCCAAGCACTCAATATATTTAAAAATAAAAATAAAAACTCAGACTGGGAAAGCCAGTGAGGCAGCATGTCAGAATATGAAATGTTATGTATTATTCTTTATGTCCACCTGTAGAAGTACAGCAAAGTACAGATACATAAGGCGCCCTACAGAAAGTTAATAATTCATGAAAGTTTAAAACTGCTTTTCCAATACAACTACTTAAATTACTTTATGCAAACCACTAAAATCAATTTCCATAGAAAAATACAGGAAATTTCTGCTAGTAATACCATTAAATGACATCTAAGTGCCCTTACAGTATTGATCAGAAGCCCATCAATAGAAAGCATAGTGGTAACACTCCAGCGTAAGCTTCAGAATGACTTTGCACTCATGGACAAGATACTCTTAGTTCTTATTTTGTTTTCTACCATCTGTTAAGAAATCCAAAGCATTACAGAATGTAACACATTTCTGTAAAAAATGTGCAACACAAGTTCCCATCAGCCTGTAATAAAATTTGATCCTACAGAAACCTAAAACTTAGATTCCAACCCTTTCAGTGCAATCTGTGCAAGTGCACAGCAGTTCTGCATCATACAGAAAGAACACCAACAAACCACTCAAATTCCAAACTTTGGGAAAAAAAAAGAAAGGATAGAATTATTTTCTTTATGTAGTACCTTTCAAAATTGTTCCTCATCCTGAAACATCACAGGGTATCAAGCATGTGGCCTACAGCAGATCATGAATTTAAGTGCTCTTCCACTAAAGTAGAATCACTGCATACAGAGCAGGCCAGATACCACCCAAACCCTCTGGTTTGTGGATGGAGTCAGGTCAGGTCAGGTCTTACTGGTCTGCAACCTTCTGGATAGCTCAGCAAGGAAAAATGCAGCTCCAGGAGGGCCTGTTCTTCACCCAACTGCAGCTGCTCTTCTACCAACTCAGGCAGAAGAAGGTTCTTAGCCTGAATCCTGAGCCAAAGACTTCCAAGCTCAAGGGGGAACGAGAGAAATACAGATATACCAAATGCCAGAGTAACAGCTGCTGTCTTTGGCAGTCTTAAAGAACAACCTAATAAAAACTTTTCCTAGGCCTGTGTCTAAATATTATTGTGCCTAAGCATCTCCCTCCCCATCATATCAGAAAGACTCGCACTTGGCAGGACTCCGTAAAACACACCGGAGAGACTGAAAAAGCAGGGCTGTAGGACCTACAGTAGTGTGGGGCTGAACAGCTTCCAAGTAGGAAAAGGCACACAGAAATAAGGATACAAACACTCTCAACAATAGCAAAAGGAATTTCACTTAAGGTCACTAGTTTTCAGTTCAAAAACACTGTGGCCTTTTAACGATAAGCACAACCAGCTTGGAAGCAACCATCTTCATGAAATGCCCAGTAGAGTCACACAGGGTCTTTCACCAAGGCTGCTCTCAACATAAGGCCAGAAAAAAAATTGCTGATACAAATTTAAATGGCGTTTCTGAAACAAGAACATCTTCTGTGGATTCTGATGTTTCCCGTGCAAAAGTACTTCGTTCTAATGCTCTTAAGGTTCACTCTGACACCAAAAAACCTTTGCTCCAGAGAGGTAGATACGGTGATCCCATCCAAGTACATGCCATGATTATTCGTTCCAGCTTAATTAAGTGTCTAGACTACACCGTCTCTGAGAGAAGCTGACAACTTTTGTGATTCAACTTTTCCCAGTATTGACATCTTTTCAATTACTTACTTATTACTCAGTAATCACA